GGAGGAGGAGGAGGAGGAGGAGGAGGAGGAGGAGGAGGGGGAGCGCCGAGGAGGGGCCCCTCACCACACACGCACCCCCAAAACCTGTCGGGCGGTTGCTCTTTTCGGCCGCCCCTCGGCCTGGCCTGCTGCTCCGAGTCCTGCGGCTTCGAGGGGAGGCTCTGCCTCTGTCTCCACCTCCACGGCCCGCCTGCGGCGGAGCGCGCGCGCGCGGGCGCCCCTCCGCTCGGGACCTGTCGCGGAACGGCAGAGGCTGCAAAGAGAGAGAGAGAGAGGGAAAGAGGCTCGAAGGACATTTGCTTGTCCGGATCGGACGATCTGCATGGGGAGGCGCAGAGATGGCTTGAATCTTTCGAAGGGGTTCGACGACTCCTTGAAGGCCTCGGAAAGACTCGAATGGTCTGGAAAGGGGCAGGATTGATTTCGAGGAAAAGAAGGTACCGATGGATGCTGCCTATCCGTGCAACCTTAATTTTGCGCCCCCCTCACGTCTCATCCCCCGTTGCTCATCTCTCACCTCCTCCCCCGTGATGCCACGTACCCACAACATTTTGCCGAATGGGATCTTGAACTAGAACGTGGGCCACGACCACCTCAAGCTCACATCGAGACCTAATTGCCACCAGGGGTACGCACCCCCATCGGGACAACCTAGACGACGAGACTGTACCCTATCTCATCTCTCTCCCTCCCTCCATTCCTTTCCGCGGTCTCGAAGGCCGCGGCGACATCCGTGCGCCTCCCCCCCCCGCCTGGGCCACGCAGACGGGGGACCTATAAGGACTGCTGGCGGCGCGAGCTGCTGGCGAAGGCGTGCCCTCTCCCTGGACGAGGGTCCGGACGCGGCCCTCCCCGACGCGCTGCGGAGGGGTTGACGCTGGGGCGTCCTGGAGAAGGCGGCTGCCGACGATGGCCCTGGACGGAGACGCAGCCAAGGTGCTGCCTGCACGGCTGTCTGGAACGACAGCTGCGCCAGCTAATCCATCCGTATCCGTCAAGAGGCGCCCGACGCCCTCATCGGCAACCGCCCGAACAGCTGCTCCAACAGCTACTCCAGATTTCGTAATAAAATGGAGGCGGTCTGGACCCTCCAAGACAAGCCATTTCTGACCTCCCCCGTGGGAGAACCCTCCAAAACATCGTCCCCAGACCCCCCAGGCCCTCCAAGATAGCCTGGAAGAACCCCCCCCCCGAAATGAGACCCCCCTCCCTTTATTACGAAATCTGGGGTAAAAATCTTGACGTCCAGCCCGACCTCTGCATCGGCAGCCGCTCCGAAGGCACAGTCGATCAACTCCTGCGCCTGCGCCCGCGGACCCTGCAGGAGCTCAGACATCCGTTCGGATGGCTGTGCCAACGCCTGTGCCGACAGCAACGCCGCCGCCCGAACCGAGGGCTCCCTCGGCTTCTGCACAGACGCAGGCGTTGGACAGCAAGAGAGGAGCTGACGTGGGAAGAGAAGAGGGGAGAGGGAATGGCGAGAGGGGCACGGAGGAGAAGGGAAGGAGTCTGCGAGAAGCGGTGATGGGAGGAACGAGTGAGGAGAGAAAAAAAAATCTCACGATCGACCCGTTTCTTTCGTTATCTTCCGATCTCACTATCGATGTATCTGTCCGTGCCACGATTCCCCATAGCCCTCGATCTCTCTACAGACTGGACGACCGCAAAACAAAAGAGGGACAACCGCGGGACAACTACAAACAACCACAATAAAACACAAACTATCACAAACCGTCACGGGGCAGCCACTGGACAACCATCGGGACAATCATCGGGACAACCATCGGGACAGCCACCAAGACAACTGCGGGACAACCGCGCGCACGCCCTCTGCAGCTGGGGGCGGGGGCAGCGGCAAAGCGTCCTCGCCTGGGCCAGGCTAGGACATAGACTCGCGATTTCGCCTCGCCGCGCCCGCACGCCACGCACGAGACGAACTGACACTCGAATTCGATGTCCTGGTTGGCGGAGACTCCACTTCACTTCGGTCTCCCACACCCCAACCCCCCTTATCCCTGAATTGACCGTATGCTTGCATTTCGACGTTCGCTTATGATTCAATTTTTTCACGGGACAACCTATGGGACGGGCACCGAGCGGGACAATCCACAGGACAGGCCACAGAACAACCGACGGATCAACCATGAGACGACCAATGGGACAACCCCACGGGCCCTCGCGTGACGGGGAGAGAGACTGTTTGTCCGAGTTGGTCAAAATCTCGGCCGACACGAACCCAAGCCGGCAACGATGTCCAGGTTGGGAGCCCCTCTTTCTCACCCCACCCCCGATCCACCGATATAACTATGCAGTAGTCTCAAAACGTGATATCGACATGCCCAACCATCAATATATTGAATACGCTCTCCGCCTAACTACCAAACGACCTCCCTATGTTATGAAACCAAGGGAACTTGCTGTGCAATGTGCGCGTCGATGTGCAGTATAGTTGCATGTGAATTTCGAATCGAGCGCATATCCGTTGGCATGTCCATTTGCAATACTGATTCGCACTCCAAATTACAATTCGAAATGCATCTCGATGTGCAAATCGTTGCGTTTCCCTGTGCACGATACTTGCTTGCGACTCGATGTTTCAATATACTTGGTATTGGGACTTGAGCTGCAAATTTCGCATACATCCCGCGGGATAACCAAGGGACAACCGCTGAACAACCCGCCGGACAACCACGCGGCAGCCCCTAAAATAACTAAAGCATGCACAACCCGCGGGAAAAAACACGGAACAATTCACTGGACAACTACGGGAAACAAACCGCGGGACAACGGAATAAACATGGAACAACCACAGCGGATACCCAAGGGACAAGACACGGGACAATACACGGGACAACAGCGGGACTTCCACGGCAAGACCGCGGGACAACCAACGACGACGTTTTTTTTCTCGAGCGCTAACGGGCGCGATCGGGGTGTGAGAAGGTGGGGGGGCTGACGTCACGGACGTGGTGCAACGGGAGCGGCAATAATAGCGATAGCACTGGAAGCGATGGTGGACATGTTTGTAGTAGTAGTGGTAGTAATTGTAGCAAAAATGCTACTAATTTAAGTAGTAGCCGTAATAGTAGTTGTAGTAGAAGTAGCAGTAGTAGCAGTAGTAGTAGTAGTAGTAGTAGTAGTAGTAGTAGTAGTAATAGTAGTGGTGGTAGTAGTAGTAGTAGTAGTCGTAGTAGTAGTAGTAGTAGGTGTTCGCAGTCGTAGTCGTAGTAGTAGTAGTAGTAGTAGTAGTAGTAGTAGTAGTAGTAGTAGTAGTAGTAGTAGTAGTAGTAGTAGTAGTAGTAGTAGTAGTAGTAGTAGTAGTAGTTCGCAGTCGTAGTCGTAGTAGTAGTAGTAGTAGTAGTAGTAGTAGTAGTAGTAGTAGTAGTAGTAGTAGTAGTAGTAGTAGTAGTAGTAGTAGTAGTGGCAGCAGTAGTAGGAGTAGTAGGAATAGCAATCATAGTAGTAGTCGTCGTAGTCGTAGAGGTAGTAGTAGTGTAGTAGTAGTCGTAGTAGTAGTAGTAGTTGTAGTAGTCGTAGTACTAGTAGTAGTAGTAGTAGTAGTAGTAGTAGTAGTAGTAGTAGTAGTAGTAGTAGCAGTAGTAGTAGTAGTAGTAGAACTTGTAGCAATACGAATAGGTGCAGTAGTTGTAGTAAAAGTCGCAAAACTTGGTAATAACAATAGCGGCGGTAGTTCTGTAAGTCGTTGACGTCGAAGTAACTGTTTTATAGTTGGAGTGGTGATTGAAGTGGTAGTGTGATAGGGCTGCTCCTGGCCAGGCCCATCCTGGGCCCAGGAGCGGTGTATATGCCTCCCTGGCCAAGCCAGGAGGGCGTATACACAACTCTTGGGCCCAGGAGTGGCCTGGCCGGGAGCAGTGGATATGTATAGATATCGTCGCCCTATGTGAGTGGTACTACCAGTAGTAGTAGTAGTAGTAGTAGTAGTAGTAGTAGTCGTAGTCGTAGTCGTAGTCGTAGTAGTAGTAGTAGTAGTAGTAGTAGTAGTAGTAGTAGCAGTAGTAGTAGTAGTAGTAGTAGTAGTAGTAGTAGTAGTAGTGGTAGTTGTTGTGGTCGTGGTAGTAGCAAGAATAATGATAGTAGCAGTAGTAGTAGTACTAGTCTCCTCGGACAGCACTAGCAATAGGAATGGTAACAGTAAGAGTAGCACTCGTAGTAATAACGGATCTTGTAATGGTGGTAGTAGCAACAGAACAGTTACGACAATAGTACTAGTGCTAGTAGTAGTAGATGTAGCAAGAGTGGTACGAACAACCGTAAGAATATTAATAGTCGTAGAAGTCTTAGTAGTGGTATTAGTAGAAGTAGTAGTAGTAGTAGTAATAGTAGTAGTAGTACTACTAGTGGTAGTAGTAGTAGTAGTAGTAGTAGTAGTAGTAGTAGTAGTAGTAGGAGTAATGGTAGTAGCCGTGGTAGTAGTAGTAGTATTAGCACTCGTAATGATAGTAGTCGCGGTAGCGGTAGTAGCTGTAGTAGCCGTAGATCGTGTCATAGAAGTAATCGTAATCGAAATCGCAATCGTAGCCGTAGTTGTGGTAGTTGTGGCTGTGGTAGTCGTAGTAGTAATAGCGGCAGTAACCGTAGCAGCTTTAGTAGTAGCATTTGGACTCGTAATCGCAGTAGTAGTCTTAGTCGTACCCGCGCTAGTAGCAATAATAGTGGTAGTGGTAGGGGTCGTAAGTGTGGTAATGGTCGTAGATGGTAATAGTGGCAAGGCGACAGTAACGGTCGGAGTAAGAGTTCTGATAGCAATAAGGATTCAGGAACGCGTTGTAAGAACACTAGTGGCAAAGAAAGGTGTAATTCACATGAAACACCGAATAGGTGATTGTACACACCGGAAGTCATGTTGTAGGCAACGATGCCGCAGCGCCCTCAGTAACGCAGCAACGTCCGCGTGCACCACAGCGCCTGTGTACAATACGATGCTCTCGCAACAACATCAAGCGCGCACCTCATCGTGTTCCAGCCTGGGGTACAGGCCGCCCTTGATTCCCAACCAATGTGTTGTTGGGCCCTTGTTTTGAAGAGACAGCGCCCCGCGTTCCTTTTCCAGCTTCTCCTCCTCCTCTCCTCTCCTCCTCCCCATCCTCCCTCCTCCCGTCACCCCCCTCACTTCGGCACACCCCTCACACGCTTCGTGGCCCTGGAGGTAGCTCCACCGAAGGCCCC